CCTTGCAGACGGAGCGTGCCCAGGTCTCTAATTCCACGCAAAGTAGTAGCCGTGCCCATGTTATTACTGAGCCGGCGTTTGATGCATGCAGAGTTTGGCGTCGAGCCCAATAGCGACTGTCGTTGCTAAAGGGGGTCAAACTACATTTGTTTTATGGTTCGATTTTTGAGGAAGAAATCAGAAATCTAGAAGTGCCACCTCATCCCACTGTAGTTGAAAGAGAAGAATATATCGATTTCACGAATCGTTTGATAGTAATAGAATCCTTCTTTTTTTTCTTTCCTATTTTAGAAGAAGAACTAGGACGTAAAAGTTAATTATGAAATCCCTTTTATGAAAACGAAAATCAAGTTTAACTGCCTTTTGTTTAATAAAGATTCCGTAACGAAAAAAAAACGAGTCATTCTCCACGCTATATGCGTTACGTTATGCGTCATTATTATTAGACTCTTACTCAGGTTTCAAAAGGTCGAATTCAATAAATCTTTATTGTACAGATGCTCTGTTCCTTAAAACTTGGCGAAATACTCAAATACAAGTTTTCCTTTTTTCCGTTTCTCTGTTTCATCAGCCCTTTCTTACTACCCAGATGTAAATTAAATCTAAACTACTCACTACGCAGACTAGGTGAGCAGATTCGAAGGAGTGCTGGAAGGATCGAGTGAGTCTTCAATCCATACCTACAACTTGGATTTTCCAAGTTAAAAGTGATCGAAAATAACTTTGACTGATGTCTAAAATGACCTAGCGAGTCAGGAAGAGGTTCCAGTTATCGAGGGTTCGAGTTACCGAGGGTAAAATTGCTATAAGTGTTGACGAAAATCAAGGGAAAATCGATTTTGGTTCGAGCTAGCGCGAAGTTCGAGGTAGCAAGGTCGACTCTACTCTTATTTGTCAATAATACTGAGATAAGTGCAATGTCGCTACCTACCTTAAATCTTTTTTGTTAACGTCGGCTCAACTCAAGAAATCCAAATCCGCAGCAAATTAATTAATGAAACAGTCAGGATCTCATCTACGAATTCATTTCCTCTCAAATTGATCTTAACTTGTTTAGTCTCTGGCAAACAATTGAGTGGTGGCCATTATGTGCATATTTTTGGAGCGTTCCACTGACTTGGATACACATATGTCTCTTTTGAATATTTAGCGAAGTGAGGATATAGATAAGATTTCTCTTTAGAGTTCTTTTCGGTCGTTCCGACTCCATGCATAAAGTACAGTTTCGGTTTCGTATCAACCAAATGCATTTCTGTAATCACAGACTATAATTTTGTGAAAGCAGCCGATGATAGCATTTGAGTAGTCATACGGATAGACCAAGGCTAGCATAATGATAGCTGCCCAAATGTTACGGAAGATGTCAACGGATTTATTCATCGTCAGTTTAAATGCTTGCGGTAAAAAGAGCAACAAAACAAACGAATTATCTGCACAAAACAAGAACAGCATGCCAAAGCTGAAAGCTACCGACAAAAATAAGATAAGATAGGATCACGGAAAGTTTAACCCTAAAAACTCCGTCTTGCCATTAATTGAGAACTTCTAAATGAGTGCTTTGGATAAATACATACGCATTTTACTCACATCAACATATGTTCACTATGTACTGAATGCACTTAAGCTGTAAAAAGAGTGATGTACTGAG